TTCATGGGTCCTCAGGAAATTAAAAGAGCATTCTAGAGATTCTTGGGATGAAAAATCTCTCTCTGAATGGTGCATCTGTGTACCTTAACAAATTCTTTGCTTCCTCCTATCTGAAATGGACTTTGGTGGTATATTGATCAGGAAAATCTAGCTATGCGACAGTACAAACTGACCTAAAATCACAAAGCTTTATATCTTGTTCTTGCTATTTGTCCATTAATAGCATGTGAACTGGGTGTGGTAGCACATACTTTTAATCCCAGCACTCTGGAGGCAGAGGCAGGGAGACCTCTGTGCAATCAAGGCCAGACTGGTCTCCATATTGAGATCCAAGCCAGCTGGGGCTATAGGGAGACGCTTTCTCAAAAAACAAACAAAAAAACAAATGTTAGTGGGGGTAGTAGAGAGGATTGCCATTTGGGAACCCAGAATGATAAACTTTAACAATCTTTAAAAATGGATACAGTGAGACATAGGCTAACACTTAAAATGTTCACCATAAATTGCTGCTGCTCACATTTCTTTGACCAAAGCAAGCACCTAACTTAATTTGGAGAGGATCAAGATGACAATATTAATCATCAAAAAAGGTGTCCTAGTTTGTTTCTTCATTGCTGTAACAAAACATTCTGATCACTACCAACTTGGAGAAGAAAGGGTTTATTTATCTTACATCTCCCAGGTCACAGTTTATCAGGGAGCCCAAGATAGGAACTCAGGGCAGGAACCTGGAAGCAGGAGCTGGAACCCAGGACATAGAGGAACACTGCTTACTGGCTTGCTACCCTGGCCCCCACTCAGTCTGCTTTCTTATACAACACAGGCCCATCTTCCCAGGGGTGGCACCACCCACAGTGGGCTGGGTCATCCCACATCACTCAACAATCAAGAAGATGCCCCATGGACATGGCCACAGGCCAGTCTAATGAAGGAAATTCCCTAATTGAGGCTCCCTCAATCCAGGTGTGTCAAGTTGACACTAAAGCTATCGAGCACAGAAGGTAAGGTAACAGAATAGAGTTCAAAAGGCCCTATCTTGTCCCAAAATATAGACTTTTATTTTCAGAAGAAGAAATAGAAGTGATTTGATAAAGTAGGGCAAATGTCTCACAGAGTTATTAGATATCTTTTTTGTTTCAGCTCTGGGGCTCAAACCTAGGGCTTTGTACATGCTAGGTAAGTGCTCTACCACTGGGCTATATCCCAAGCCATTTTATTTTTGATATAGAGCTTTACTCTGTAGCCCAGGCTAGACTCCAATTCATAACAATTCTTCTGCCTCAGTTCTATCAAGACACTCTCTGGAGAGAAAGTCCAAATACTTAATACCTTGAATCATTCCTGTACATGTTCTCTCTAGCCCAACACTGCAAACTTTTTGTTTTAGAAACCACAGCTAATAATATTTTCTATGTTCCTTAATTCAAGCTACATTGAGAGGGATTCTTGGTGGTCCAGTTCATCTTTGCATAACAGACCATAGCATTAGAACCTTGGTTCATCTTTGGATCTGTTTTTATTCATGGCCAGTCACTAGGAAGCAGGGATACACCATGTGATTGTCCAGTCTATTCCTCCTGGTCTTCTTCAGGGACCAGAAGATCCATCCAGTACAGAAGAATTTTATGCTTAAGTGATGATGTTTGGCTTGTCCTAGCCTATGATAATAGAATGTCCCAGGTACTATGGTCCATGAAGCTAGGTGGGGCCCTGCTGGCTGCTGGGCTATTGGTAAAGCAGAATCTCAACAGGGATGAAATGGAAATGACTGAATTCAGGGACCCACCATGTTAACCCATCAGTCTAGGGATTGAGGGATTTAAAAAGTTAGCTCGGGGTCTGGGAAACAGCTTAGTCTGTAAAGTGCTTGCCATGAAAGTTTGAGGACCTAACTACTTGGTGCACACATGTAATCCCAACACTAGGGAGGAAGATCCCTGGGGCTGACTAGTCAGCAAGCCTAACCAGGCCACTAAGAGACCTTGTCTCAAAAAACAAAGTGGATAGCATCCTAAAAATGACATCAAAGGTTGACTTCTGACCTCCACAGGCATGTACACACACACACACACACACACACATTATCTCAGTGCAACTCCATTTCCATGCTTGAACTCTACAGGTTCCAGTCTGAATCTAGGCCTAGGTGACAGGGACAAGACTGGGAAGAGCTGGAAAAAAGGGAAATCTGTGTCTTCAAATCACACAAGAGCCAGGTGCATTGTGATCCTACCACTTAGGAGACCAAGGCAAGAGGCTAAGAGTTCAAAGACAACCTGAAATTCCAAGTCCTTTACCATGTGGCTTCACCTTGCTTTTGCAGTCTCATGTCCAAAACAACCTACTGTCCAATCACCATCAACATTTCCCTTTTCCTTCCTTGGCTCCTCTCTCCCTAATGCTACCTTCCTCCAAAATCAATTTAAAAGTCAGCACCTTCTCAGAGAAGTGTTTTCTGCCTATCCTGACCTGGCTCTTCCTTTCTGAATCCTAATACGCCTGTTTATGCTCAACATCTGGATGATGTGTGTTACCCAACTTTGATTCCAGAGTCCAGTACCGCCTGGTATATAGCAGGAGCCCAATAGTGGTATGTCTAATAAATTGTAGAGCTGGCTCATTTAGGAGGCTTTGATGAGTTCTTCATTTGTGTTCAGCACAGCGGGAAGAAAAAAGTCTAAATAGAGCGTGGCCCCTCAAAGAGCATCTCTACTTCAGTGACTCATTTTATAGAAGAGAAAACTGAGGCTTGGAGTGGTTGTTAATATGACCAAGGCATAAAAGGAAGTGGTCAGGCCCAATTTGGATCTCAACTTTTCATTCCTGAGCCCCATTCTTGGCCCCTCTGCTAAACCCCAAGTTGGAGAGTCAGCTCCCTACAGTCCACACATCTGAATATTACCCATAGGCTTGGAAATGTGTCAGTGATCCAAGGCACTTGACACATAAAAATTAAGGACTCTGGTGATTTTCTATACCATGCAGCTCTCTGGGGGATACCACCCCAATGCTCTAGTCATTACAAGAGGGTATATTTTCCCGCCTGGGCAATTGGTTAGGTTAGTGGGAGAAATCTGACAAAATCCTGGAGAGGAACTTGATCATTCTCTGAAGGTCTTACAAGTTTTTTGGCCTGCTTAATCTGCTCAGACACTGTCTGGGGAATAATTGGTATTCATGTAGTACACACTGTGAATTATTCTGTGGGGACTAGTCTTCACAAGACCCTCAGTTCTGGAGACACCCCCCACCCCATCCTGCATTCCTGCTGAGCAGCCTTTTTCTTAGTCCTTTCTTTTTGGGGGGCTGAGAGGAGGAAAGTTTAAAGCGACACAGGGGATAGTCTCCTGCCTTCAAGTCTAGCTCACATAGTTCAGAGCTGGGCCTTCTCTCTCAGCAGACAAAATTCAGGCTATAGCTACAACCATTTAGGTTAGTTTGTCACATGTTTTTGACACTCTGGCACCTGAGTGCCACACAGAAAGAGACTGACTCTGTGGATCAGTGTAAAGAAAAGATGAAAAGTTAGTCTGAAGATTCTTCAGGCATTCTCTACTTGCTGGATTTAAATATGAGGAAATTGGGACAGCAAGATGGCTCAGGGAGTAAAGGCACTTGCTGCCAAGCCTGACTACCTGAGTTGGATCCATATATGATAGACCCACATGATGGAAGGAGAGAACTATCTCCCACAAGTTGTCTTCTGACCCCAACACACATGCCATGGCACAGATGCACCCACATATGTACACAATAAATGAATCCAATAAAATTTTTTTAAATAATAAATATGAGTGCCGGGCATGGTGGAGCATGCCTTTAATCCCAGCGCTCAGGAAGACAAGAGTCAGGTGAATCTTTGTGAGACTGAGGCCAGCCTGGTTTATTCAGGGAGTTCCAGGCTAGTTGGGGCTACAGAGAGACCCTGTTTCAAAAAGACCAAAAGTTCAAGGCCAGCCTCAGCTATATAGTTACTTTGAGGCTACAAAACTCTAAATAAATAAATAAATAAATAAATAAATAAATAAATAAATGAAATAAATAAATAAATAAGAAACAATCACACAAACAAGCCACAACAGCAAAGCTGTTCTTCATCAAGATCACACAGCTGCTGTTGACTAAAGACCAAGTACCAACCTGCCTGAGTGACCAAGAATGCCTGATCGATGTTCTTCCCCTCCTCCCAAGAAATGCTCCCTACCCCTTCCCTAGCACTGCACAGGCACTTTCAGAACTAAGTCAACTGTGTCCTAAGTCCCTAAAGTATTTGATTGCCCCCTTTTGGGTGAAAAGACTCAAGAGAACTTCTCTGTGGTGTCCTTGTACCCACAGGCAGGGGCAGAGAGAAAGCCTCAGGAATTTCTCCCCAGCCCTTTCTCCCCTCTTTCTTTCTCTGCTCTGGTTGGAAGTTTCCAGAATGTGAGAACCCTGGACTATGCCTGGAGGGTTAAGAACTGCCAAAGAGGCGCAGTTGGGTCCTGAGCACTCCCAGGCCTGGATCCGATGTGCAGTGGCAGTGACAGGGGGCCCCAAGGCTGAGCGCCCCAGGGTCTAGAGGCCAAGTGGGACTATTGCACACACACTACCTGCCCTGCTCCTGGGCATCTTGGGCGACTCCGGGAGGCCCCGGCTGGGGACCCTAATGATCAGGCGCTGGCTCTGGGAAGAGCCGGAGCAGTGGGCAGAGTTCAGCACCTAGCGCTGGGCTTCTCTCCAGCGAGGTCCGGGCGCCCTTTCCCTGGCACGCAGGTTTGGAAATAGGATGGCCTCGCCCGGTCGCCGCCTTGGAGGCTCGGGTCCCCATATATAGTCATATCCACCGTCAACTGGGAGGCCGACAGAAGGCAGCGAATGGGCGAGCGGCCCCCGCGGGAGGAGCGGGGAGGGGGCAAGGGCGGAGGCAGGGGAGGGGGGAAAGGGGGCCGGAGGAGCAAGCTTTTCCAAAAAAGTATTGGCTGTCTTGAGGAATGTGGTCGCCCCCTTGGGAAAGTACTTATCTGGGAGCAGCCAGCGGCTCAACGCTCGCACTCCTGCCTGGCAGCCCCACCGCGCTTATCTCTCCACTCCCACCGCCGCCCAAGGGCCCCTAGTCGCCGCCACCATGGACGCCATCAAGAAGAAGATGCAGATGCTGAAACTCGACAAGGAGAACGCCTTGGATCGAGCCGAGCAGGCGGAGGCCGACAAAAAGGCAGCGGAAGACAGGAGCAAGCAGGTCTGCGCCTCCCCCCAACCAGCTCTGCGGCTACCCATCGCCTGCGTTCCGAGTGGCTCCAAGAGAGCCCCGGGGACCCAAATGGCATCCCTCCCTGCCCCGGTCTCCTGGACCCCGGGAGCCATCCCCAGCCCAAGGCGTCCATGGGCGCGCGGCTCGCTCAAAACAGAGCGAGGGAAAGAGCGAGACTGAGGCTGAGTCTAACTTTTCTGTCTGGTCTGAGGACACTTGTGGCCCTTCTCTGACTCCCACGACCCGTAAGGGCCGTTTAAGCCCTAGAGAGGCTCTAGACGCTCGGGACTGGGAATCAATTTTGGAATAGGAAGGGAGACAGGACACGGGTTCCGGGGGAGGTTGGAAGGAAGGGGAGGGAGTTAGGCTCTAAGTCCTGAAAGTATTGCAAGTTCTTTGAACTTTTGGCTGGGGAAAAACAGACCTAAACCTGGGATGGAGATATTGGGGGTCGAGGGGGAGCCATGGAGTTTTTTCCTAAGAACAAAAATGGGATATAATGGAAGACACAGACAGCTAACCAGGAGAGGGTGGTTTTCTGCACCCCAAAATTGTGGACCTGACCCTGCTGAGACCTCGGCTGGTGGTCCCAGGGGAAGAGGGGGTGCAAGGTGAGCCACTGAGCGGTTCCAACTCCGGGAGAGAGGAGGCTACGTGGGGTCCCCCGAATCCCAAGGCAGGGATCACCCAGACCCAGGGCCCCAGCCAACCTGGCGCCCATGTGTTGTATGTGTCTCACACCCGGTCCGCGCCTGCCGCCCGCTCCCGCTCTCCGCTGCTCCCCAGCTGGAGGACGACATCGCGGCGAAGGAGAAGCTGCTACGGGTGTCGGAGGACGAGCGGGACCGGGTGCTGGAGGAGCTGCACAAGGCGGAGGACAGCCTCCTGGCTGCCGACGAGGCCGCCGCCAAGGTACCCCCGGCGCGCGGCGCAGCAAGACGCACGAAAGGCTAACTTCTTTCTCTTTCTTTCTCCCTCCCTGTCTTTCCCTTTCTCTCCCTCTCTCTCCTTCTGTCCCTGTCCTATATGGTCTGTGCACCCTTACCCGCACTTTGCGGGATCACGCTGCCTGCTGCACCCTTCCCCCCTCCTTCCCCCTTCCCCCATACTCCACGGCCAACTCCCAGCTGGAAGATGAGCTGGTGTCGCTGCAAAAGAAACTCAAGGGCACTGAAGATGAACTGGACAAATACTCCGAGGCACTCAAAGATGCCCAGGAGAAATTGGAGCTAGCGGAGAAAAAGGCCACCGACGTAAGTGCACGCTCACTTTGCCTCCCTCCTGCCGCCCCACACCACCCCCCCGCGTGGCCACTCTGGGGTCATCACTGGGGTTGCAGAGCAATGGAGGAAGAAAACCTCCTACTGGGCACCTGCACACAGGCTGGCCGTGGCCCAGGACACTGGATTGGCGCCTCTGACTGCTACTGCGCACATTCATTTATGTTCCATCCACTCCTTCATTCTCTTTTTCTCCTCTTCTTCACTTCCTCCCCTCTGTCTGGAAGTGGGTGGGTAAGAAGCTGGGAGAACACAGCATCTGAAATTGGACTCTTGGAGGTGAACTTCGCCTCCTGCTGGTAGAAAACTTGAGTGTGTCATCGCTAAGGTTTGTGCGAAAGTTTCTGGTTTTCTTTTTCTTTTTTGTCAGCCCCAGTTGATGGGAAGATCTAGTTTGGGGTAATGGGCCTAGACTGGGTACAGAGACTCTTCCCTCTAGATGTAGTCTTACTCAAAGGCTAAGCTTGAGGCACACAGAGACCTTTGAAGATTTTCTCTTCACTAAGCAAGCCTTAAGATCTCTCCCTGGGAAAATGATACTTGCTTGGGTCTGCAGTCTGAGGATCCAGAAAGTAAGCAGGGAGTTATATATAGCCCAGTGCTTTATATGGTATAGTGAGCTGACTTCCCGCAGCCGGCCCCACCCCCACCTGACAACCCTCTGGCAACCACTACATACTTTCAGGGACATACAGTTACATCTCTGCTAAGCACTCAGAGCTCCACTGCCCTTCGGAATCTTAAACCATAAAGCTTGCCTCTTCTGTCTAGTAAGTCAAGCTGTGGATAAGATTCACAATGAACTGACTTCTTTTCACACCACTGAATTCCTTTCCAGAAGCTAATTAAGCCTAGAGGCCCAATTAGAAAAGAATTCCTTGGGAAGCTGATAACAATTCCAAGAATGTATGAGCGCCAGAGAAAGTTATGCCTAGAAGCTGAACCCCCCCCCCAAATGCAACAACAGAGAGTTTTATTGTTTTGGTGTGTGTGTGTGTGTGTGTGTGTGTACTGTATAATGCAGATTACCGGAGGGTCTCTGGTTTTGAAATCTGTATAGATTTTTTGTAGCATGAAAGGTATGATACACATTACCAGTGTGCTTGGTAAATGAGAGGTCGGGATAGTAGTCACTGGACTCTGACAAAATTTCAGTGAGAAATTAAGGTTCCTGGAAAAAGGGATTTGGGAACCACTGATTTGTCTAAAATACATGTTAAAAATATCTGTTTTTTAGAAAAAGAACAAGAAGAACAAAAAGACCAATCATAACTCTGAGCTTGCTTTGTATAATATGTATCAAATGTCTGCTCTGTACATGCAGTAGGATGCTTGTCTCCCCAAACTCTCCCCACAGGACGTTTATTTAGTTTTTCTAAAGAGTGGCTGATAGATCAAGGAGAGATATTCCTTATAAGGGAAAGAATGCAGAGAATTTGAAAATAGCCCAGTACCTAATGAAAGCAGGAGAAAAGTGCTGCTATAATTCTTAAGGGGGTGGAAAAAGATAATGCTTCTTGTAACTATGAAGTGGCATCATGTCTTAAATGGGAACTCTTGTTGAGGGGCCGTTGGAATGGGGTGGGGCAGAAGTGGAAAAGAAGCTATTTAAAGTCAGTTGAGGCAGGGCCAGTGGGGGAACAGGTTCTTTCTATGCACTGGAATACTGTCCCTAAATACTGTGTGTGTGTGTCTGTCTGTCTGTCTGTTCTTTTGGTTAGCGTATTGATCATCTTCCTCTGTAAAGCATTTTAGGTTGTTTGGAGACTAGGAATGTTGAAGAAGGTTGTGAAGATGTTATATTTAGAGTGATTCTGACTCACTTTAAATAGTTAAGACTTGAGGAGGAAAAGACAGATGTCACTAGAGGAAAGAGGTAGGAGGGAAGTCAGTTTTCTGAGGTATTGCAATGAGGACATTTTACTGTCATTACTTCCCAGGGTTAAGAATGCTGTATTTTTCTATTATTATTACTATAAAACATTTTTCTAATTTACCAACCTATTGTACAAACCATATTCCCAGGAGCTAGCATCCCTAATGATCTGTTTACTGGAGTTTTACTGGTCTTCCACCTAAATGAGGACTCTGTTTTCCTGGCCCCTTCCCCAATCACTGTGATGTATATGGATGTGAGTCTTTATCCCCTAAATCAGTGATTCTCCTGCTTATATACATATAATCATCCAGGTAGGTTTTTAAACTCAGGTTTCTCCCCCAAGTCAATCACACCAGGATCTCTAGGGATGGAACCCCACCTCAATGTTTCTTAAATACCCAAGTGATTCTAACCTGCAACCAAGTCTTAACAACCATCCTAAGCTCTTCCATAATGACATCAGCTTGAAAATGAACTGTCTGAAAATGACTTCTACTGGTGTTTGAAAAGCAGGACATTAAGTCACTAGGGTGGCTGCTTAGAGCTTTGGCAAGTGGCCAGCAGTTTCCCTGGCTGCCTCTGGACAGTTGCAGATGCCCTGTCCCAGCCTCCTCGTGGTTGGAGGCAGATGGTCTATGAGCTCTGGGGAGGAGTTATAATCATGCCTGGCTGAGCCTACCAACTGCTTGGAAACCTAGGGAGAGGCTCCATCTACAGGATGTGAGGGTTTGCCAGCTTCACACCAGAGGCCAGAGAGGACTAGAAACTCCATAGAAAATGAGCTAGGCGAGCTAGAAACTTGTTAGGGTTTTAGAGGACAGAGTTGGCAGGCGGTGCTTTCTTTTTCTTCCTTTGTTTCCATTTTTTCCCACATTTAATCAAGTCCAGGACTGACCTTAAGGACCCTCTGTGACTAAGGTGAAGGAATAAAGCCCAGAGACTTGTTGGAAGGCATTTAAAAACGCAGCCTAAGAGGAATGACAGAGTGCTTACAGATTGTGCCCACGTGACTTTCCAGCTGGCAGACAGGGGTTCGGTTATAGGGTTCTGAGATCTCCAGCTTGATCCATCCCATTCAGACCTGAGACTGGATTAAAACCGAGGATGGCTTTGGTGTATTTGAGATTGCACAACTGGTTATGGGCTATTTGCGTTCTTTATATATAAAGCATTGTGAAGTGCTTTATGTTAATTATTTGATAATTCGCACAACAGACCTATGAATAGCCGTACTGTTACCCTCGTTTTTTGTTTTTATTTTATTTTACAAATGAAGCCACAAGCCACTAGAAACCAGACTTAAACCTAGGAAGGCTGTGTTTAGATCAGGAGCTCTAACCACTACGCTTTAGCAGCTAGCGGTTTTCATTTCGTGATAGGATGGTGGGTTTCTTGTGGTGAGGATCTTGTTCTGGGGTTCTTCACAAGGACCAGTTCCCACACTCCAGGCCTCCCGCCCCGGACTCCTACTTTCCGCTCCTACCACCAACCCCCAACCCCAACCCCAGCCCCAACCCCAGCCCCCTCCCTGCACTTGCTCAGCTTCTCCCCCTCCATGCACTGCTCAGCGCTGCAGGCGGCCAGCAGGAGTCGCCATAGGTTTAGCATCTTGAGCTGATACCCGCCAGGCCTCTAGGAAGAGGCGCTGGGGAGAAGTCAACTCCCTCCAGTGGCCTTGCTCCAGGCATACGAACCTACTGCCCGCCATCCCCGTGCGCATGCGCAATACAACCGCGGGCTGCACATTCCCGGGGTCCCCAGCGCTCCGCCCAGCCCGCTGGCAGTGCCGGTCCCTTGTATTCGCCGGGCGCCGCCCCAGGGCTGTGACTTCCGGGCTGCTCCTAAGCCGCAGGGGGCGCCGGCGTTGCACAGCTTGCCTGGGCGGGGCGGACCGGACCCGGGTTCGGAAGCGGCTACAGCTGCCGCAGCATTGCGGAGAGGCCCGAGCGCAGCCGCAGCGGTAGCCGCCGCCTCACCATGGCGGGGAGCAGCTCGCTTGAGGCGGTGCGGAGGAAGATCCGGAGTCTGCAGGAGCAGGCGGACGCCGCCGAGGAGCGCGCGGGCACCCTGCAGCGGGAGCTGGACCAGGAGCGGAAGCTGAGGGAGACCGTAAGGAACCCACCCATCACCCCGCAGGCCCCACGCTGCACCTGGCGCACCTGGGCCAGCTGGCCCCCGACCCCAGGGAGGAACCCAGCCCTTTCTCCTCGGCCCTGCCTGTCCACCTCGATGGTTTAAAGTAAAACCTCTAGGGGAAATTGCCGTTGAGAAGGTTCTGGAAGCAGCACTTTCCTGTGAAGGGTCTGCGTTTCTGGGGTGATCGCGCGTTGGGCCCCGTGGATGTGCACTTTGCACTACTGGCATTTATTGGGGCGAGGCACCGCCGGGATTTAGGGTCTGCGGATGCTGGATGCCCCCGTCGTGGTTCATAGAGGCTGTTTGTGTTTGGAGACGGCACCAGGTTCAGAAAGAAGACTTAATTTGCATAGCACGCAGTCCTTTTACCCTTATATTTCTTAGCCCTCCCTTCTCCTAAGTTCTCTCAGCAAATAGATATTCCTTTCTTACCAAGTCTTGTCAAAAGTTGGCCAGATGTCAGCGGTTACTGGGTGTATCTCTTGCCTCCTTCCCCTCCTTGTTGAATGTAATACCTGGTTTCCTTTAGTCTCCAAGGCAAGTGTATCCAGCAATCAGGAACAGGATTCAGAGTTTAGATGTTGGATATTTATCAGCCTTGTGTGTGTGTGTGTGTCTGTGTGTGTGTGTGTGTGTGTGTGTGTGTTAAATCAAGGTATTCAAACACCTTGGGAATTTTATGACAGCCAGTAATATGGTGTCCAGCTGTGCTTAATATACACAGGGCTATTCTGAATTGAGTAATTCCTTCTGGCAGTGTTTGTAATGGCTATATGGCATCTCACAGAAACTCCAAAACATGTTTTGTATAAAATATAAAGAACCGAGTGAGTCTTCCTTGGAAAGCCTAGCTAGAGGAAGTTTAAGATAAAATACAGATAGGGATAGTGTAGGAAAAAGATAATTTTCAGTATTTTAGAGGACAGATTATTAGTAAAAGCCCTACTTACTGTAGGTG